AAAGCACTTTGTCAACACACATAGTAGAGACACTGATGGGAGGTTCATTGTCCGTCTACCCTTTAAGGTAGACTCTTCTCAGCTCGGTGATACACGTCTTGTTGCTCTGAAACGTTTTCACAATTTAGAACGACGGCTTATAAGGGAGCCTAGACTTCGTGAACTCTACATTCAGTTTATGAAGGACTATATAGAGTCTGGTCATATGAAGTTAGTGTCATCCGATGGCCATGTTGACAGGTATTACATTCCTCATCATGGCGTGCTCAAGGAGAGTAGCAGCACTACAAAACTGAGAGCAGTTTTCGACGCATCTCTACCTAGCTCTACAGGAGTTTCACTTAATCAAATTTTAATGTCGGGTCCTAAGTTACAAGAAAATATTCAAGATATTATTTTACGTTTTAGAACTTATTTAATTGTTTTCACTTGCGATATTAAGCAAATGTATCGTATGGTCAAAATACATCACGATGATCAGCGGTTTCAAACTATTTTCTGGCGTGACTCTATCGATAAGCCTTTGCAGGAGTTCGAGCTAACCACTGTTACATACGGCGTTTCTAGTTCTGCTTACCAAGCTATCAGAGTGATTCACGAGTTGGCGAACATCAACGACTCTACATATCCTGAGGCGGCACGTGTCCTGCGGGAGGATACTTTCGTAGATGACATCGTGAGTGGTAGCTCTACACTGGATGGCGCTAAAACACTTCAGCAGCAAATTACTGACGTGTTGGCTCAAGGTTGTTTCCATTTGAGGAAATGGTCTAGCAACTCTAGCGAACTACTTAAGGGCTTACCTGCTGATCATTGTGAGACGCCTTATCGATTCGAAGATTCAGGTGACGACATTTTCAAAATTTTAGGTATCGAATGGAGCCCATCTTCTGATAGCTTTCTTTATCGAGTGTCTAGTATGAGTAAAACATTAACCAAGCGGGGTATTCTTTCAAATATCGCTCGTTTATATGATCCTTGTGGTTTCATTGCTCCTGTAACGTTCTTTGCTAAATCTTTCTTACAAAATTTGTGGCTTTTGGAGATAGGTTGGGATGATACACTTCCTTTTGACGCTCAGCAGACTTGGTTTAAGTTTGTTGAAGATTTTCATTCATTAAATAAAATTCGTATCCCACGCTATGTAGCGCGTGATCAAATGTCTGAATGTCAACTTCACGGTTTTAGCGACGCGTCTGAACGCGGTTACGCCGCATGCGTATATCTTCGTTGTGGTAGCGATGACGATGTAGAGACGAACTTGTTGGTTGCCAAATCTAGAGTCGCTTCTGTCAAGCAAAGGAAGACAATTCCCAAACTCGAGCTCTGTGGAGCAGTTCTATTGGCTCGTCTTTTGGAACATGTTTGCAAGGTTTTGCAACATAAAATAAACATCACTTCAGTCACAGCATGGTGCGACTCTAGCATAGTGCTAACATGGTTGCGAACATCGCCTCACAAGCTTCAGACGTTCGAAGGGAATAGAGTTTCGCAGGTTCAAGGTATTCTTCCAAACGCTACCTGGCGATACGTTCCATCCGTTTTCAATCCAGCCGACTGCGCGAGCCGAGGCTTGCTCCCTCGCGAGTTGTTAAATCATTCACTTTGGTGGAGTCCTTCTTGGCTCAAATCTAATCCCGATTCATGGCCTTCTTCATGTCAATTTCTCGATCTTGACGATTTGCCAGGTGTCAAATCAGCTGCAGTTGCTGCACATGTGGTGCAAACTGTCGAGACTACACATCACTCTGACTCTACATTGCTCTTTACCCCTCCAGTTTCTTCGCTTATCGTGCGGACCGTCGAGGAGGCATCTCATATAAAAGGCTCTACATCGACTGTTGCAATTTCATCTCACGAAGTTGTTCAACATGTCATTAAAAGATATAGCTCTCTATCTAAACTATTACGTATTTTAGGTTGGTGGCTACGCTATAGTTATAACTTACGTACACCAAAAGATAAACGATCAGGTTCTTTATCATTGTCGGAACTCAAATCAGCATTGTTAATTTGCATCAAATCGGTTCAATCTTCCGCGTTTGCCGATGCAATCAAATTGTTACAACAACGTAGGCCTGTCAAGGGCAGTCTCTGTCGGCTTCATCCATTTCTCGACGAGTTTGGCTTTCTTCGTGTTGGAGGGAGGCTAGTCAATGCCGACTTACCTTACAACAGCAAGCATCCGATTTTGTTACCTCAGTCTCATCACTTAACGGATCTCCTTATCGATCATTACCATCAACTCTATGGCCACCCTGGTCCGTCCACTCTCATGGCGATCCTGTCTCACAGATACTGGATCATATCAGCTAGACGTACAGTTCGTCATAGGATTTTCAAATGTCAGCGTTGTTATAGGTTAAAGGCAAGGCCTGTTAACCCGTTCATGGGTAATTTACCTGCTAGCAGAGTTACTCAAGCAAGACCTTTCCAACGAGTTGGATTAGACTTCGCCGGCCCATTCATCGTTAAGGATTCTCACGCTCGAAAGCCGAAAACTTTTAAGGCATATTTGTGTGTTTTTATTTGTTTCACCACTAAGGCGATGCATTTAGAGGTAGTTTCTAATTTAACAACTGACGCCTTTTTGGCTTGCTTAGATCGATTCGTGTCGAGGAGAGGATTACCATCTGACATATTCTCTGATTGTGGTACCAATTTCTTAGGCGCCCGTAACTATTTAAAAGATATATACGCACTTAAAACGCAATTAGATAGAGACAGCGAAAAAATTCAATCTTATCTGGCACCTCGCGAAATTTATTGGCATTTAAACGTTCCCTCAGGACCACATCTTGGTGGTATTTGGGAAAATGCAGTGAAATCATCTAAGACATTACTTAAACGAATAATCGGTGAACGCGTACTAACGTTTGAAGAACTTAGTACCGTGTTTTGCAAAATTGAATCGATACTGAACTCACGACCGATTTGTCCGCTTAGTAGCGATCCAAATGATCTTGAGGCTCTTACGCCTGGACATTTTTTGATTGGGCAACCGCTTCTCGGTTTGCCAGAACATAATCTGAAGCAAATTTCTGCTAATCGTCTTAATCGTTGGCAATTGTTGCAACAAATAACGCAACATTTTTGGAAACGCTGGCACACCGAATATTTACATACATTGCAACAGCGTGATCGTTGGCTTAAAACTGATCGTAATTTACAAATCGGGGATTTAGTTTTGGTAGCGGAATCTCATATACCGCCGTTACAATGGCGAAAGGCTCGTGTGACAAAACTCTACCCGGGTAATGATAGCATTGTTCGAGTCGTAGAGCTTAATACTTCTACTGGAATCTTGTTGCGTCCTGTGGCTAAATTATGTCGCTTATTACCAGAACCTTAAATTAGCACGAAAGCAGCGATCTCTAGATTTAAGTTTCGTTTAATCATAGTTTTATTATTCTTTGTTCAACAATTAGTTTACCAAAGTAGCATACATTTAGTGTACTCATCCTTGCTCTTTATTTGAAAGAGCTGAACCGCTCTTTGGGGGGCGGTATGGTAGATTTTAAGGTTTAGGTTTTACCTATTCGATACAATCGTGTCCCATCACTCGTGATACCTTCCTACCTCCATGCCTTTTTATTATCTGAAGTCCTTGGGGGTAATCTGAGAATATCGTAAACTCACTTCCGCAATCGCAGCCGGGTCGAGCAGACGTAGCTCCCAATATATAAAAGCTGAGAAGTCAAGTATCACGGCGATCGACGCGTTTGTCTCGCGAACAAGTGATATAGAGTGTGGTGCACCACTAGGAAATAAGACGCGCGTCCAGAACATCGAGCACGCTGGGACGTAGTGAACCAGGTTAATAAAATGCTGAATATTTCAGGAATGATTTTCTCCTTTCTGTCCAGTCCTTTATTCCGAAGAGATTATTATATTAGTTATCGACATTCTAATCGTTACAGGGTTACATGACGAGCATCAACTAGTTTCAATGAGTGTATTTTTTCTATATAATCAAGGTAAAGGGGAATAAAATTTCAGTCGTCCTCGTAAACGTCTTTGAAATTTCTTATTCTATTTAGAAAATAGTTTCTACTCGAATTTGTACTCAGTCATAATAACAATTTGGCATATAATAGCATTAACATTTCAATACGGGTGTAGACGTTTTTTTTACATTTTTATTTTAAACATCTACTTAAAGAATATATATCTCTCATATATTAATTTAAAATGTAAAAATAAAATTCGTGTTGAAAATTTCCCGCTAAAACGCTAACCTCTGTCATGGCGTCGATGTGACGTCACAGTCCCCTGAAACTAACATAAGCAATAACCAACAACAAGAAACATCGTTTTAAGCACAGTTCTATTTATGTCAATGTCAAAGTCATATTTATGACAACTTTCCTAGAGAACTGTGAGGTCATGCACTGTTTGTAGTCACGTGACAACGAGTATAAAATAAGTGTTTTTTCATAAATAAAATAAACATAGTAGTGTGATTATCGGAAATAGTATATTAAATACTACCAGAAAAAAATACTGTCTACACCCATATACTATGGTAGATGAGTACCAATTAGTGATGTCTCTATGTAATGTTGATAGAACCATATCATATTTCATCGTTCTAAGTTGTATACTTTTTTCGCTGTTCAACTCTTAACCACTAACATATCATTTTGTAATATTTCTGCTAAAATGATGTAAAACCTTTTTGAATAGTAGTGTCTTTTTTTTAAATATTTCAAATAATATAATTAGAAAATAAATTATTGAATTTAGTAACATTTTTATAATATACAACACATTTTGATTTGAACTGACTCTGTAAAACCTTGACACAAATCATTTAATTTAGCATAAAAAAAACATACTGAAATCACATCATAAAACATATTCAATGACATACAGTTAATTATGTCATCAAAAAATTTACGTCACATATCACATTTGTAAAGTAGTGGTTGAGGGTTAAACTAGTAATACACCAAAAAATGTAACTTTCCTTAATATTGCAAACATTCACATTTCAACACCTAATTAATATTCATTCCAGTAACACCATATTTACTGGGGCATAAACTAACATTCATAAATCCATTCGACATATTACCAGATGTGTATTGACATATATTACTCACATCACTTTTGCAAACATTCTGAGTGCTCCTATTCACAATTTCATCAATACATTCTAAGAAATGTTCAAAGAAATCAGGAAAATTATCATAACTTGGAAACACATTAATATCTATGACGGCATGATCACCTGTCACATTATCAATAACAACATCGAAACCTGCTAAAACAAGACCTATCTCTTTCCTTAGAACTCTGATGATGCTCCTTATTTTGTCTTCATTCAATGTCATTCTAACATCGGCTATATCGTGAGGATCCAATATGGAGAGAGTAGACTGGCTATCAGCTTTACAAACCTCACCAGTACTGTAGAAAATCGGTGCTAAGTTTTCTGACGCATTAAAGTTTTTTAAGCTTGGTCTCTCACATATATGATATCTGTAAAGTTATTTGATAACATGATCAATAAGAAATACCTATAATTCATATAAATTAAATACAAAATAACAAAACATCTTGATGTTTAAATAAAAGATAACAACATATGTCAACACATTGCAGCCTCAAACTCAATATACAGTACAGGCCTGACACAGCATAGAACATCAATAAAATGTGTTTTCAAGTAGGTTTTATTTGATTGAACCTCTATGCTGTGAAGAACCTTGAATAAAAATACAACTATACCTGTTTCCAATTAAAAATACTTTATGTAGAACAGCATTATGATTAACAAAACTCTGCACAACACACGGAGGTTTACAAACACTGAGACCAGTCTTATTAAATATTACAACCATCTCGTGTGCTAATTTAGAACCATGTGCAAGACTGGGCTTGCATATCACTGGAAACTTTACACCTCTCTGTATCATTATATCATAATTTAAGTCCACATCACTGGTTGTGAATTCAGCAAAATTTGGCGTCATAATACTTTGGTTTCTAAATGATGGTTCATTATGAAGTATGGAGTAATATCTATACCTGTAACAGTATTAAAAATTCAAACAATATTATTAAGTAAAATGTTTTAACAATATTCTAAAAAATATATAATTCATTAAAAGGTTTCATGGTTACCTGTTCAGTAGAATTCTTACATTATCTAATGGATCAATTACGATAACATTTGAATGATTTGACAAATACTGTTCCACTCTGCTGATTGTAAAAGATGCCTGTGAAATAAAATAAAAAAAATAAAGGGGAAATAATAGAACATATTAAGGAAAGAAACTAGTTAAATTTATTAATGAGTCATAATAAACTAACTAAACTAACCTTCGCATCACCTTGGTCTGCCGCAGCTAGAATATCAGTTAATTTATGTAAAAAAATATCTATAGGTCCTTGATCTTCCAATGGTCTCTCTAAATCCAACTAAAACAATTATATTTGTCTATTTACTCTCATGGAAGTCCATTTTATTAAATTTAAAATATTTACTGCATATACTATTAATATTGAATCAAATCATAAATTATGAGTCATACTATACAACACATGAATTATTATAATGGGACTGACAGCACTTGCTTAAGTCATGGAGTAGGGGTTATGAGATTAACTATGATATAGATTACAATTTTACCTATATGAATACTCAATGTTAATAAAAATTTAATACATTGCACTTTCAAACACCTATTACCTTAGTAAGATTATAGCCATGTGAAGCACAAACACAAACTAATTCATTCCAGTTCAGTTTTTGACTCTTTTTATCCGACATCCATATCCCTATAGTTTTGTCGTAACGATTTGTGCCATTCATCTTAGAAGAAACTTAATAATGTAATCACAATTCTTAATAGGTGCTTAATCGAAATTTAACTTTTAACTAATAAAATTGTATCAAAATTAGGTTACTTTAAATTGCATTCAAACCGCCGCTATATAAACACACTTTTACACTTAATCAAAAATATTGAAAAGACAAAGCTGTAAATTAAAATAACATTAATCGGACGTAAAACAACAAAACATTTTATTTCTCTGCCTTCACCGCACAAAAACATGACAGCGAGTAAACAAAGAGTAAATCGAATGCACAGACCGACCATGAGGAAGATTAGGAAATCTTTAAAAAATAAAAACCCTGGTTGGCTGTATCATTGATACAGCCATATTTTATGCGTGGATACGTCTATGTATGAATGGATATATGAGTAATTGATTAAAAAAAAATACTAACTATTAATGTTTTAAATAGAGTTTATTGAGTATAGGTCGATGATATGAAAAATATGAAACGTAACGAAATTGGTTAACATTTAAATTACGTGTAAAAGTTAATCTAAATATGTATTGCCCAGAGTTGTGGGTTGAGTCTGGCAACAATCCAAATTAAATTCTTTTTTTAGAAAATTAAGTAATGATGAATTTTCTTATATGTCGGAGTTAAAAAAATAAATAAACAAATTGAAGACACTAAACACTAAATAAATAAATATTCGTTGCGGTCATTTGTTGAATGAAAAAAGTATTCAGTAGCGCCAACAGATGGCGTTAGTGCATATACTGGAAGTGCAAAGTAGGCGTGGAGCGCGTGCCACAAATAAGCTTTGTAAGGCTTAACTGATCTCAGTCGTGGTGTTTCATCGCAGCGAAACGGTAGTCTTGTCAATCTTTTCTTTTTACTTTTGTTTTTACATAATTATGCCGTTTTGTTCTGTTTTGGAATGCAAAAATAATAGTACAAGAAACAATCTTCATAATGGAGGAATTTCCTATCATCGGTAAGTTCGATTTTATTAATTTTTAGATAAAAACTACCATAATTTCATTTTACTAATAATTTTATAAAAATAAACGCCAAAAATAAACCTTAACACATTGCAATAAAGTGCATTTTGAATTTGATAGTGTAACTAAATTGTTCTAGTAACTTCCATGCTACTCAATTAGGGACGTACATAATTAGGTCGATACTGATTTTATCGATATTTTAGATTATTTTTTAAATGCAAACTAATGATAAAAATTTTTTTTGTTGATCACAAGGAGCAAGTTTATCAAGGCGATTTACCCATATTTACATACAATATTAAATTATTTCCTGCTAAATTATAAACTGCACTTTTTAGGTTTCCTAAAGATGCTAGTATCAAAGAAAAATGGACAGATGCAACGGGCAGAGCTAATTGGATACCAAAAAAATCAAGTACTATATGCTCTGAACATTTTTTAGAAGACGACTTCTTAATATCGAAAAAAGGATATAGATATACAAAACCTTCATCAGTACCAACTATCAAGATAGTTAGGTTCTTTGAGCAAGTAAGTGATCATTATTTTTTATTTATCCGATAATTGTATGTTTCAATATAATATTAAGTCAACGACAACTATACCAGTAAGAAAAAAACCGGCAAAGTGCGAGTCGGACTCACGCACGAAAGGTACCGTACCATCATCTATAATAGAAAATTGCTTAAAAATTACGTTTATTGTATGGGAGCCCCTTTAATATTTACTTTATTGTTATTTAATTACTAGCGAATGCCCCGCGGCTCCGCCCGCGTAGTAAGTAATTTTGGGTTCCCGTGAATAAAAAAAGCTCCCGTGGGATTCTTGGAAGCCGTTCCTGTTTCATTTTCATAAAATACCTCTACTTGTTTTACAAATATCGTCCGTGTTAAGAAATATAGGGTTTTCTAGGATCCCGTTGGAAATATGAGATCCCGTGGGATAAAAAGTAGCCTATGTCCTGCTCCTGATTATAAGCTATATGTGTGCAAAATTTCAGCCCGATTGGTTAAGTATTTGGATTGTTATGCGATAACAAACAAACAAACAAACAGACACACAAACTTTCGCATTTATAATATTAGTAGGATTTATTTTGAATACAAGTAAATATTATACCTGTTACCGTTATTAATATTGAGCAAAAAACACGTTGTTTGTATGGAGACCCCATTAATATTTTTTAGTGTTTTATAGAACTTTGCTAGAATTAAAATTCAAGCTTTGTTTCATTAAAGTTTCAGGAAAAAAAATTGTCAAGCTGAATTTAGTATGATTTCGAGTTATATCCAAATCTAACACGTACGAAGCAATAGTGGTATACAGGGTGGGTCTTGTACCACGAGTAATAAATTAAAACCAAGACTCAGACCATGAAACTGAACAACATTCCCAAAGAAGCTTACTGTCAAAAATTAAAAATACTGACTTTCCCATTTGGTAATATTGTATGGGAAGGTCAATTTTTTTTAAATTGGGTCGTGACTACCCTTCCACCAGAGTCTGGTGCCATAACAGCTAGCTGTGTTTCGTCAGTGTGTGGAAGTTCCAGTGACATAGGGCAATCTCCAGGTAAGCTCGCTCCATCTTAGGCCTTGTCATTGCTGACGCGGCACGGCAGGTCAGGCATGTCTGAGGCCAAGAGCTTACCTGTATGAAGTAAAAAATAAATAAACATTTTGTGTTATATTTCAGCTGCATGATGCAACTCCTGGTCCTTCAAAAAGAAAAGCAGATGCTGAGGGCTCTGATATTAATACTGAGCCAAAAAAAGTTACTCGAGTGGATGAAGGTTGTGTAAAAAGCCACAAAGTTGAACCCGTTCTTTCTCAAAAACGAGATGAGGAGAACATTTCTGTTCAGCCCCGAATGGGGCTGAACAGAAATGTTCTCGTTCTCTCGTTTCTCTTACTGTTTCTCTGCTTCTCGTTTCTCTTACTGTAGAATTACAGTAAGAGAAACGAGAAGCAGTTCTTCGTGTTCTACGCCAAGGAAAAAGAAACTAAAAGGCCAGATTCGCTTTTGCGAAGAAAAAATTAGAAAACAGGGTCTAAAAATTAAACGACTGCAAACCAAAAATCAAAGACTTAAAAAGAAAATAAATAGTATAGACGAAATACTAAAAAAATTAGAAGAAAAATTTGCTATGGAAATGGAAAATTTAGACTGTCTAAAAAATACTAACATACAGGTTTGTTTTTACTTCTTTTTACACGACTGTCACAAAAAAGAGTGTATGGTGTGTGTGTGTGTGTGTGTGTGTTCGTGTGTGTGTGTGTGTGTGTGTGTGTGTGTGTGTGTGTGTGTGTGTGTGTGTCTGTGTGTGTATGTGTACACTTGTGTACGTGCATATGTGGGTATGTACATATATGTATATGCATCCATCCTAAACGCTTTGCTTGATTCAGAATGTTTAAAATTAACTTACAAAATTTATGTTTATAGGTTCAAGAACTTATCGCACGTGAAATCAGAAATACAAAATCTGGAGTCATATCAAGAAAAAAATATTCACCAGCACTGCGAAGTTTTGCTTTGACCTTACATTATTATTCGCCTAAAGCTTATGACTACGTACGCAAAACATTCCATACAAGCCTACCACATACACGTACCTTAAAAAATTGGTACCAAAAAGTAGCTGGAGAACCCGGATTCACTAAAGAAGCACTAGCTGCTTTGAAGCAAAAAGCTGAGTCGTCAAGCCAACCATTATTAGCCAGCTTAGTAATGGACGAAATGAGCATTCATCGCCGTGTGGAATGGGATGGGCGCAAATTTCATGGATATGTTGACATGGGTACTGAAGTAGACGGTGACCATTTGGCGGAAGCAAAGGAAGCTTTGGTATTTTTAGTTACTGCAATAAATAGTAACTTTAAAGTTCCTGTTGGATATTTCCTGGTGGATGGTGTGACTGGACAACAGCGTGCTAATCTTGTAAAATTATGCTTGGAAGCTATTCATAATACTGGCGTTAAAGTGGTATCTCTTACATTTGACGGTTGTGCTGCTAATATTTCTATGGCGAAAAACCTTGGTTGCTCATTTGAAGAACAAAAAGTTACGTTTGAGCACCCCGTAACAAAAGATCTTTTGGTTGCGATTCTAGATCCCTGCCATATGATCAAACTACTTAGAAATACATTTGAAATGAACAAAATGCTTATAGATAAAGATGGAAATAAAATTCTGTGGCAACATCTTGTGGACCTTAACAAACTCCAATACAACGAAACATTCCATCTCACAAATAAATTAAGAGACCGTCATATTAATTTCCAAAATGAGCGCATGAAAGTAAAATTAGCGACTCAACTGTTCAGCATAAGTGTCGCTGAAGCTATTAAATATTGCAGGGAATCGAAAATTAGTTCTTTTGATGACAGTGAACCCACTGAAAAATTTCTAATTATGTGTAATAATCTTTTTGATGTATTTAATACAAAAAATTTACATTTGTACGGCTATAAAAAAGCTTTAAATGAGAAGAACGCAAAGCAAACCTTTGAGTTTTTGAATGAAGCGTCAGAATATATTCAGAATCTTAAAATGGAAAACGGTACTCTTTTGATAAATAGTCGGAGAAAAACTGGGTTCCTAGGGTTTTTAGGTTGTATCAAAGCTTTGGAACATTTATATTCAAGCTTGATCCAAACCAAAACTTTACTTTATTTACCATTTTACAAGTTAAGTCAGGACCACTTAGAACTTTTTTTCTGCAATATAAGAGCACAAGGTGGATCAAACAATAATCCAACGGCGAGACAATTTACATCAGCATACAAAAAAATATTGATTCACACCCAATTACAAGACACAAATAAAGGCAACTGTGTGGCTTTGGAACAGATATCTATTCTTAATTGTTCATCAGCTGTGGAAAGAATAAACAAAAGTACTGCTCAAGATATGTCACAGCATGACCAAACTGACGATGAATCAGAAATTGAAGAACTAGGAGGCCACTTTTCTGATTTTAGTAACCAAGCTATAGGTTATATAGCTGGTTACATTGTCCGAATATTACTAAAAAAGATAAACTGCGACATTTGTGTTTCCGCTTTGGTAACACATCATTTTGAATCAATCCATAAGTTTATAATTGCAAGAGATCAGGGTGGCTTGTTATACCCTTCACCAGATGTTGTGAAGATTTGTCAAACAGCCGAAATATTTTTAAAAAATGTTGATATAGGAGTGTTTCGAAAAAATGCAGCGATAACGCAAATTATGCGAAAGTTTATAGGAACTCAAATATTTAACGATATAGCTTCTCATCAATTAGGAGAATTTCCTGCATCCAACCACGTTACCGATTTGATGAAGGCTATAGTTGAAAAATATATAAACCTTCGCATACATCACCTATTGAAATTAAAAGTGAGATTGTCAAAACGCCAGTTTCTGAACAAATATGTTTTATTTCAAGGTCAATAAATTACTAAGTACCTACTTAAGTATTTCATTTTAATTTATTACAAGTCATTGATGAATGCGATAGCTCAGTAGTAATGCAGTGTGTCTGGATATAACATTATGTCCTTTTTTTCGTTATACAGGTAAGCTCTTGGCCTCAGTCATGCTCGACCTGCCGTGCCGCGTTAGCAATGACGAGGCCTAAGATGGAGCGAGCTTACCTGGAGATTGCCCTAAGGCACTGGAACTTCCACACGCAGACGGAACACAGCAAGCTGTTATGGCACCAGGCTCCGATGGAAGGGCAGTCGCAACCCAGGCGGACCTTCGCAGGTCCTACTACCACGAGTTGGGATCTTTGGCCGTCTTCACAGACGTGAAGCCGTTGCCCAGGGTGGACCACTTGGAGGTAGATCCCAACCACCCCATTTAGGTGAGTTTTGGTTGTGGTACGTCCTATCATGTTATTATTACCTACTTACATTAATTTTGTGACTAACTGCGATACTCAGAGTTATTGATTATATTTAATGATCACTTTACAAATGAAACTTCACGGACAGATGGACATGTGACATGGCGTAACTATAAGGGTTCCTTTTTACTTTATACAGGTAACCTCTTGACCTCAATCATGCATGAATGACGAGGTCTTGGATGGAGTGAGCTTACCTACGCCCCTAGCATGAGTTGTGTGAAAGCAGTATGTCACTGCGCGCGTGAGAAAATCATCATGCCGTCCCGCTCATTCTATACTGGCCCAAACGCGACAGCGAGATTATTATGTTACAACAGAGCTGACTAACGCTTCTCACACGGCTCATGCTATGAGCGCTGAAATTTGCCTGAAGGCACTGGAACTTCCACGCACAGATGGAACACACATAGCAAGCTGTTATGGCGCCAGACTCCGGATTAAGGGTAGTCGCGACCCAGGCGGACCTTTGCAGGTTTTACTGCCGCGAGTTTGGGTCCCAACCACCCCATAAGTTTTTAGCCATTTGCTACGGAACCCTAAAACAGGAATTATTTCGTAACTCATGATTAAGTGTTTTAGTGATTTATTTTTCATCGATATCGATAATTTATTTAAATGTGCTCTTTTACCCTTCACTAGCCGAGTAGCTGGATAGCAGCTTCATTTCGCAAAATTCAACCTTAACGTAAAGAGATTAAGTTTATATTGGTTTAAATAGATAAAATAATGCCACCTATTGGTGAGTAACGGAATTTCTTCGACATAACTGTCCGGATAGCAGCTGCATTCTGCAAATGTAAACCTTAACTTTTTTAAGTTAAGTTTCATAATGGTTTGAATTGTTAAATAATGCCACCTATTGGTGAGTAACGGAATTTCTTAGACAAAATTATCTAGGAAATCAGCTACCTTAGAATACATTCTATCACAATGTGATAAGATACATTTTTAATTACAAAATTTATGAGTTAAGCTTATTTTGACTGAAATATATGCAACGAATCAAATGCATTGTTTGTTTGTAGTAGAATATATAATTATCGGTTTACTTGTGTGATTTTGGCGACAGTGGTTCTGGAATAAATTGTAGCATATTGCACTTCCACCCTTTTTTTATCCTGCTGACAGAATACCCCTCCCCCTGCAGAGCAAGCATAGTTCACTTATACGCCAATAGATGGCGTTAGTGCATATACTCCTGCTCACAGAATGACCCCCTGTAGAACGAAAACATAGACGTATCCACGTCAATAAAATTAGTTATTGAAAGCAAATTAGATGTCACTTGCGACTTTTGGATATAAAGAACTGTTATATGATATAGAGATTTTCGGATAATGATATTCAAAATTCATAATGATAGTCTATGATATTAATTCAAATTTTGATATTAATTCTCTGTGCTCACTTCCATTATGCTAGTTTCTTTTTTCCTAAATTTATTCAAAGATTACTTTGTATTAATCGAGTTGCGTTTGCATAACTCGAACTAATTAAATTTCAACTCGATATTAATCCGAGTCCGATCTAGATCCATAACAACACTGACAATTCTATTCTCTTCGGTTAAACGTCATGAATAACGTTTACATCCAACAATTTGTGCTGCCATCTAGTGACATATATTTTTGCAGTTTATTTATTTTTTTAAGTACTTCCTCATTAAAGTTTAGAGCAACCAATAAGTTGGCTCATCGCTAGTGTTGACGTAAAAACTTAACATCGTTCCTTTACACGTAACATGATATATAAGTTAAGCTTACAATTCAAATAAATTTCAAAGTTAGATATTAAAAGAAACACGAAACAATATCATATATAGGTATTAATTTTGGACACTTGATTTACTTTTATTACGTCAGAAACAAAGTTTGAATGAATTTCATAGACAAGATCCAAACATCGCTAGTGACATCTAGTTTGGTTTCAAAAATGAATTTTTATTATTTTAATACCATATTACACCGTTGTTTGCACCGTATTTTCCCTATATGGTTCACCGCAATTTCTGAGAATTTACCGTATTTCTTTAGTAAAATCACTGCCATGCATATTTTAGACATGGCAACGCTGATTTGACGTGTGGACCACTACTCTTTGATGTGGACTATAGAGCAAAGAGTAGTATAATATAGCGCTATATAGAGTGCCACTGTTAAAAAAATGCTATTTAAAAATTTTCTATAAGTGGAATGTAAATAAAATTATTTCCATTTTCACTATTTGTGTACGTATGTAATCAAAGTACAATACAATTTTTATACTTTCTTCGCAGATTTGCCACTTTTTGAATAAAATCCTTTTTAGTTATTAAGGTTATCAATCAGCGCAAAAATATGTCTGAAGATAGCGTGTTAAGTGCCAAGAACCGAATACTCGATTTACTAATATATTTAGATGATTTCGAATTGGATACTGTTGAAACGTGGATTTGTAGTAATTCTTTTAAGAAGGGTAGGTATTACCTATATGTATCTGATTACAATATTCTTTTGTAAAGAAATAAAATTTCAAATCATATTTGTTACAGACTTAGAAATAAAGAAACAGATGAAGAAGTCTGAAAAGTGCTTAATAGATATAGGAGAAACAATAAAGAAAATCATTCCCTTTGAGGCAGAGATGCCTTCTGAAAATATAGTTCCCCCCACTGTTGGTGACCAGGCAGATTGTAATGCCATTAACACAGTTCACGTTGATGAGTTTTTATATGATCAAGATGAAGTTAATGAACTTGTTAAAAAAGGGAAACTACAAAAATACTATTGCTTAAACTGTAACTCACGTAATATTAAAGTAAGTGTAATTTGCATAACAGACATGTGGAAAAATGATCTACCTTCATTATATATGACTTATAATAAATTATCATTTTTTCAGGATTTAACATTAATATCTCATTCTATGTCAAGATATGTATTGCAATATATTTTTCAAGTACTTCTACCTAAAGATTTGGAGGATAAACAACTACTTGATGTTGGCTCGAGACTAGGAGCAGTCCTTTATGGTGTAAGTTGCTATTCTTTTTGAATAACTAGTTTTTCTATCAACTACTTCTAATAAGTTCTTGAAAAATGCAGACTTCAATTGTTTTATTTCCCCTAAAAACATGACTAACTATATTCATCACTAGATAACCTGAGAATTAGGTTTATTTTAAAATTAAATTATAGCCTAATGTAACTTACAAGCTAAGCTTTAAAATAAATAGAGTACTTTTTCCACTTGATTAATGAATCTAAATTTACACTGTATCAGTAATTGATTCTGTCTTGAAGTCATTGCTCATGCACTGTAAATATTATTGCAAAGATATTACTATGACTACCTTACTTATGACTGACCCTTGTCTCAATTAGATTAGTGTTCTTATTCTGCAAAACAAAGTACCTATAAATATTCAAATGACAATGTTATATTAATTCAACCTAATTTTAACTTTTAGGCGTACTACTTTTCAAATGCTGGCACTATTATTGGAATAGAAATGAACAAAGAATGTTGTGATGTTCAAGAAAGGATTATTAGCCAATATTCATTAGATACTGATAGGATAAAAGTGATTAACTCCGATGTAATGGACCGGAGTGACATTGTTCGAAACACTAATGTCATCATAATAAATGTTCTCGACTTTTTTGTTGATATAGAGAAACATAAACAAATATGGTATTACTTTAAAAAATATATAAAAAAGGGAAGCTACTTGGTTTGTAACAGAAGTATGGCTGAAACTTTAGGATATTTGGACATGTTTGAAGAGTTTATGGATTGGCTGAGCATCTGCAAACCGAGCCAATTAGAAAACGAAGTATTTTTTGATTTAGAAGAATGTAATGAACTATTTTTGTATACGGTTAATTAAATATTTTATTTGGCCATAGTCTTTTATTTTATCAATATTGTGAATTCGGACGTAGATGGTAAATGAAAATTAAGTTTTTTTTTGGTAGTGTTTAATATACTATTATGGATAATACACACTTTTATGCTTATTTTACTCTTAATATTGTTTAAATTTATTACGAAAAAACGAATATTTGACGTCACGTGACGTGATCTTATAACACGATTTCAACAATTTCTAATATAAGTATTCTTTTTACACCCGTACCCATAACATTCGTAAATAACGAAAAATAGAAAGAAAACCGAGCAAGTGCGAGTTAGACTCGTCCACGTAGAGTTACGTTCCCTACGGTTATTTATAAAAATGCAACTAAAATCACGTTGTATGGAAGAGCTATAAAATTTTTTTTATTCAGATTTTTACGGTTCATGAGATACAGCCGGGTGATAGATGGACATCAGTCTTAGTAAAAGGATACCGTTTCACAATTTGGGTACGGAACCCTAAAATTGGCTTTCTTTTAATGTGACTTGACTACTTGAGTGTATAACGCTTTAATAGTCTTGTTTTAACGATCGATAAGATGTACGAATCACATACATAGGAGACAATGGATATTGTTTTTTGGATTGATTTTGATGTTCGATCTTTTTAAACTCCATCTTCGCTTTCTTGCTACCCAGACTGACTTCAACATAACCGTAAAGCGATCGTAAATCGTAAAATAATATTATTTAGAATTTGTCACATGCTTTAGTAGATTTTGGTAGGAGAAATGGCGGATAACCGAAGAAAAAAATATGTAAGAAGAATCTGATACTCAAGACGACATTAGAATAACATCGATGTTGACATCGATATCATCATCGTAAGTCCAACATCGATGTTTGATATTTATCGAAAACTAAACATTTACATTCATGACAATTTTTTTTTATTATTATATTTAATTTTTTGCGACAATAAGGTTGTCATTTTGATGGGGTGCTCATTTAATTTTTATTATTATATAACGTTTAAAGATACTGAGAATTTCTATCAATAATGATATTTGGTTTTATTATTCCTTACCTTGAAAGTTTAAAAGAACATTTGCTTTGATTTTTAGTTTTGAATTGTCAATTTTTTTATTCATATTATTTTTTTTAATCTGATTAATTGTTAATATGAATCTTTTAGGTTTATTATTGGAATATGCAAAGCATGTAGGATTTTAAATAATAGAAAAAAAAATCGATTTTTTCGCAAAAATCGATTATTTATTTTCATTAAAATCGATCTTTAGCAAGGAGTAGGCAAATGTCAATGACAGTGACATCTGTCATTGTCAAACAAAATCCGTCAATAGGAAAAGAGTGGACGACGCGTATCTTCATTTTATTCGTAATTTCAATTCGAAGTCTACGTGTTTTTTTCACTTTTGGTTAAATTATGAACTTTATATTGATAGATTAAATCTTAAGAAAACAAAATGTGGCACGAAGCTAGAAAACAGGAGCGCATGATTCGTGGCTTAATTGTTGACTATCGTCGTAGGGCGGAGCGTCGTAAAGACTTCTATGAAAAAATCGTAATTAATTGTGTACCTACATATGTACTGCCTGAATTATTGATAATTTTTAACCAGCTGAAACTTTTCTTAATGTTTTATTATATTGTTATTAAAATTTCACTTTTATTTTCAGAAAGCAGAACCAACGCAATTCTTGCAGTTACATGGTCGACCATGCAAAATACATTTAGACCCGGCCATTGCGGCAGCTGGGGAAGGTCCAGCTATAATGTGGGTATAATATATATTGTTACATTTATTCTTATAATACTTTTTACTACAAAACTGAACAACTCTTATTTATAGGATGCCTTGGCAAGGTGATGCAAATAATATGATTGATCGTTTTGATGTTCGAGCTCATTTAGATTTTATTCCTGATGTCAAATACCCTGAAATTCAACCAGAAGAACTTAGTCCTGAGGAGAGGCAGTGTAATTATGAGAGATACAGAATTTTGGCACAAAATGTGTTCCTTGGTATCAGTAAGTAATATATTGTATTTTTAATAAAACATAAATTTGTATTGTTCAAATGGATTTTGGTTTCTACAAGTTTTATGTTTTAGGTGAAGACAAGTTTCTTCAGCAACTTGCTATTGAAGAACAATTTGGAGTGACAATAGAAGAAAAGGAAATGCAAAGGGAAAAATTACATGAAAAAAGGGGAACTGGTGCAGCTATAGGATACAATTATAATGATCCAGGAGCCCAACCCTCTAGCTCGCACGGTAGATTCAGCTTTACTGTTATATGTCACGGCTAATGGTGTGAACGGGTTTAGTAGTCAGAGTGGAATGTTCCGGGTTATCTAGAGCATTATCATGGCCTTTGGTATTAATTACAGGCTCGGAAGTTAAAAAAGTACAAGAGCAAAAGGATTCTGATGATGATTCCGATCTGGAGATCATTGATGTGGATTTGAGCATTGATGTCAATAAGATGGAAGCATCACAGGTGAGATTTTTAAAATATGTTCTAGTTTTGGTATGTATTTTACTTTTAGATTAGATTGGTAAATTAAGAGTTACACATACACTCTTAAAAAAAACATAATTTATTCATACTATTATCCCACCCTTATCCTTTAACTCATACTAAGGGAGTGAGTAGATGCTGTACTTATTGTTGTTGCCTATAATTTTTATTTATCTCGCTGAACTAATAGTAACGTTTATAGAATATATTTTAGTTAAACATAAAGTTTTTATTTAGACACCATTCCATTTATGTACATTCATTAAAACAAAAATTAGTTTTAAGGTATACATTATATAATTGCAATTGCATTATGTAACAAGGACATAAATAAATTATATTACTGTTACAAAAGAAGTTCCTCAAAATGGATTCTAAATTTATTTGTAATGCAAGTAATAAGTAAAAAAAATATCAAGGTAATAAATACAAACAACACTTATAATAATTACAATCAGTTAATTTAAAATTATAAATTGACTTATAAATTGATTTTCTTAAATCTAAGCATATTATTTTAACATCTGCCACAGGAATAATCATTTAAAATTAAATAGTGCATAAATGTTTTCTCATTCTTATTATCATCCGATATAAAACCAGACCATACTTTGTTTTATGTTTAGTTTTAAATATTCATGATGGTATACTTTGTTGCACTAATGAATATATGTACAATAAATGCATGATCCATCTTTCTTTAGTATTTAACCTTGGTACATTAAAGTAAATATTAAGTATATATAATTTTTGATCCCTGCTCCCCATTTATGTAAGAAAATGTAGGCATCAGCTAACCTCTTCCCTCCGATTTAATAATTATTATGTTACAATCTAAAGGAAAAGCTAAAGTTTCGACTTGTACGCCTACCTCTTGCTTTGGTAATGAAAGTGCTCTATAGCAAAAAAACATTTTTTTTTAAAAGAAAATTGACTATCATAAGTAAATCAAATTGTAATCACAACTTTTTTAAGTAAGCATTGCTTTAGTCATGTATTGGATTTTTTACTATTTTTCTTGCCTCTAATTATCACCCATAATTGAAAATATAGACTAACAAATATCTACTTTATTTAAATTATTATCCATTACTGCATTAGACCTTTGAGGTTTCACAGTCTTTAATAGATTTTTTTCTGGGAGAACAGGCACACGAGTTGAATGCAGTTGGCCCTCAATTTGGTATGGCGGGTTGTGATCTGTTCTCTTTCCTCACTGGCGATGCAGATGATGCGGAACATCAGAAACAACTGCTACGCGAAGAGAAAGAAAAAGCAATGTTCTCTGGAAGGAAAAGCAGGAGGGAACGTCGGGCGCATAGGTGAGTGTATAGATGCTCTTGAGGTCGTGTTAAATATCACATAGTGTTGTTTAATATTTAATAGTATTAGACTGCTACCATGTATCTTATAGTTTATCAGATACAGTGAGTGTTGTGTGTCGAGAGTAGTTGTAAGTTTGTGGTGTCGGAGAAATAGATTAGAACTTCAGCACGAGGAGCATGACAAACTCGAGAAAGGCTTTGTCTACACCGAACGTCACTTTTCGCGGGTCGAGATTGAGATATAAGTGTAGATAAACCGTTCTCGAGTTCGTCGTGCTACGCGTTCGAAAGGGCTACACTGTTTCTACGAAAACTAAATTTCATCTATTTTCGAAATGCTAATATCATCATCATCATCACCACCATCATTTCAGCCGAGAGACGCCCACTGCTGGGCATAGGCCTCCCCTAAAAATTGCATGTGTAAATGCTAATATGTCTTCAAAGAAATACTTTTACAATCATTTACGATGCAACGGTAGGATGACCCGACAGGGCCTCCCATGCATAGATAATCTTCACATGTTTTATTTAACAAAATTGTTGTTGGTGGACAGAGTAAACCTCCAGGTCTGATGTTACATGCGGGGCTAGACCCGGCGAGCTCCTTCCCCTTCCCAAGAGGGTACTTACAACATGCTTTACCATGTAGGCTGGCCTCACTTGGGCCTGTCCTTTTTAGGACGGATGCGGGGTTGGAGACCTGCATTTCCCCTGCGTTAAAAAGTTGTGATGTTACATGGTGCGAGTAGTAGATAGATAAATCGTTTATTCCGATAACCATAAACAATAACATCACAAATTTATACAATACAAAAGAACATACTACATAATGATATACCTGTGTGCAGCAGTAACATAAGGGTTAGGGCTCGATGTATGTAAATCACCCAAGAATGGGTGAATTAATAAGTAAAACTAATAATGTCCTAATAAAATACATAAATATTCTGTTCTACAGAATATTACAATTGTATAACAAATAATGATAGATAAGATAAACACAGTACACAAATGAATATTAAATAGTTTTAAGTACATACTTGAGATTATAATACGAAAAAATTAATTTAAAACGTCAGTCGTGTCAGTATCAAAAAGAAGTTAAAAATTATAATGTCGTAAGCGAGTCATGAAGAATTCGAATCGCTGACACCAGTAAATGAAAAATGAAAAAAAAAAAAGAAATTGGAAATCTTTATTGCGGCATTAGCAGATAACATATTCATGAAACACTGGCTTCTGAATTTAAGAAACATGTGTCCCAGAAGCCAGTTGCTTCCTTAAACTATAAACTTTGCTGGCATTGTTGAGTTGATCAATGAACTAGCAACTTATCAATAATAAAATAAAAAATAAATAAGAAAAATACAAAATTAAGTTACATCTACAAATGAAATTGGCGTGTCACTATTGTGTGTGTGTGTGAGTATGTGTGTGTTAACACATTAGGGTTAGTATCTATATCAATATTATAAAGCTGAAGAGTTTGTTTGTTTGAACGCGCTAATCTCAGGAACCACTGGTTCGAATAGAAAAATTATTTTTGTGTTGAATAGACCATTTATCGAGGAAGGCTTTAGGCTATATAATATCACGCTGCAACTATTAGGAGCGAAGAAATAGTGGAAAACGCGGACGAAGTCGCTGGCGGCCGCTAGTCCATAATATGAGTGTAGCTCCGGGTTTGTGTGTAGGGACAAGAAGCTGTTGGCCCGCGTGGCCAGCCCGCCCAGCTACGCGGCGCCGCGCGCGCGCTCGCTGTCGCGCTCCCCCTCCCCCTCCCGCTCGCCCTCGCCCCTCGCGCCGCCCGACAACATACAGTTCATCACCTCCTTCGGCGGCGACGACGACGAACCCAGTGAGTTTGTGTCGCACGTCGTCTACATATAACGCGCTCGCCGAAACGGAACAATCTCGTACGATGACCCGCCGTTACGTATCTCTTTCGGTCGCGCGCAAATTTATTGCTGTTGCGCTCGCACAGGCGCATCTAGCTAGTTTTGTCGAAGTGAAATGAATCAATGTTTACGATATCTGTCAGTACATATGAATTGTTTATAAATGTTATCAACGTACGAAATTGCTTTTGTTCGGGACCGTGCTATGTTTTTATTCACCTGAAACAACATTTCTATGGTTATTTCTGTTGCTATTGTAACAAATACTATAACTAGAATAAAATGAAATTAAGGAGACTCTTTTTGCTTGTTTCCGGTAAGAAACCCTTCGTGCGCGAGTACGACTCACACATGGGCAGTTTTTTTATAAATACATAGAAAGGATATATTTTTATGCATACATTTGTATAGATTGTTACAGATTTATTATAATCCGTGTTTCTATTTCGAACACACCAATACCCTATTAATGTAATACTTCAATCATCATTATCAGCCCTTTTACATCCCCACTGCAGGGGCTCAGACCTTCCTTATGGATTTTTAAGGAGGATGGGCCATGACCCTCCACGCTGCCCAATGCGGATTAGAGGGTATTAACGACTGCAGATGTAGCGGGGACCAACGGCTTAACGTGCCTTCCGAACCACGGAGTAGCTCGAGATAATAATTTTTGGTCACCCATCCCGTGACGGACCTTTGCAAACCGTTGCCCAACGACAACTATCGCGGGCCGTGGCGCTTATCCACTACGCCACCGAGCTACTTCCAAATAAAATATCAATTTTTAAATAACCCTATTTTGGAATAGCGGGTTAAAATGTTTGACTACGAAGGGTGGAATAGCGAAAAGCTACTTGATAATTTTCATGTTATAATTGCAGCACCTCCACCGAAACCTTTGTATGCGGACAAATTGAAAATGAACTTAAAGAAGGAGCCCACATATTCAGAAGTAGCACGTAAACCAGTTAACAGGTCAGACATAAAACGGAGTATGTAGATTGAATTGGAATCTGAGGAACTGAAACTAACACATTATATGGAAATTATTTTCTAATTAATTGATAATTATGTTTTTTTTTTGTAGTCACTTAGAAAATGTATCAAAATACATTTATACAAAATAATGTTCTGATTTGAAAGCATGAAACATAGCATTAGGTTAAATAAATTAAATAGTTTGGATATCTTGCATTAAAGTTTGTAATACATAGTATCACTACCCTCACAAACAATATTCCCCAAATCAGTTTTACTCTTTCTATGAGGATTATGATTACTATTAACATATAACATTTACCAAAAATCAATCTACATACTCCATATTCTATTTTATTTAATATTAAGACAATAACAGTTGAAAAACCAAAACTGTGCACATTTAAACAAATAATTATAAAAGTTAACTAAGTTCTCTAATATCATAAAATTATTTAAATCAAGTACATGAATGTTTAATAACAGAATATCTAGTATTTCATAATACTTTCAGTGATTTAGTATTTCTTAAAAACATTTTTTTACAACCAGGTCTCCCCTTCCTCAAATGGGTCCACAATGGCCGCCCGAATCCAGGTTGCGTTCCGTATCTCGTTCGAGATCACGTTCGAGGTGCAGGTCGCGTTCAAGGTCAAGGTCACTGTCGAGGTCACGGTCACGTATGAGGTCACGGTCACGCTCGAGGTCGCGGTCACGTATGAGGTCTCGGTCACGCTCGTACCGACGCTCGTCCTACTCGAGATCTCGTTCATCGTCGAGATCCAGATCCAAGTCGGTGAGCCCGTACGGGTCCAGATCGCGTAATTACAAGAGACGATCGCGGACTCCTCAAAAGTTTGTATTTATATATATTCTTTCTAATATGCTATATATAGTGTAAAGGTTAAAATTAATTTAAAATGTATGTATACTGATTTTTCTGTAATGTATTGCGTTGTAGGTAAATGGTAACATTAATAGTGACTGGCTTTTTTTGCTATACATATTTGCTGTCAGATCAATATGGCAGATATTTATAACTGTAATGCATTGTTTTGTGGGATCTATTAACGACAGTGACATTAATAGATTATTATGAGTCGAGAAAATAACTCATTTTTTGCTATACATATATGGCAGATATTTTTTAAAACATTTTATGTTGTAATCGAGTTATATAAACTATTCTATTTGATAAATTTTGTATTCACAATGTTATGTTGATATTTATCTCAGTATCCTTTTATTACCTACAATATAAACTATTTTAATTTTACACAAGATTATCAAATATACTTACATTCACAAAAATTTTAATAATTATTTTATTCAGTCATTTTAATCTATGAAATAGCTAATCATATTTTACTGTTCCACAGTCACGAATATACCAAGCGTAATAACTCGAGGCCCATGTCTTATGAAAGGTAAGCTCGTTTAATGTATAGTATTGTGAATAAGGTAAGCTTTTATAGTTTGTTAAATATCTTTGTGTGTCTTTATTCTGCAAAATACAATTATCGTCTACTATGGTTCTTTAAACTGTTATTACAAAAGATTTGATTAGTTTTTTATTTTTATTCTATAATTTTTGTAAATCAAATTATCATAAATCCTTATATCTGGAGGAATCCTTTTGGAATGAAAGTCACCCCAATTTTCGTGTTTTTTTTTTTATAATTTCAGTCTTAGGAAAATAAAGCAAATCACTAATGAGCAGTGGTCGGAATTAGGTAGAGTTATTCATGTACTTACACTGATTTCATACAGCGAAAGAATAAAGTGGATATGCCTCAAATCCCGAGATTAATTTTAAAGAGCAGAAAAAAAATCCCGTGATTTTTTAAATATAAAGTTATTTACTTTTACACAATTTAAATTACTGCATGCACGACGTTGCCAAACTTACATCAATGACATCGGATGTCCAAAGTTGCAAAATACGCATACGCGCGATGTTGCCACATTTGTAGTTCGCACAACATAGCTTGTGAGAACAAAAGAATACAATAGCGCAAATGCGGAGCACTCCCCAATTAACGTAATGTACTAGATTGTGTCTCTTTCTACCGCATTCAAACTATCTAAATCCCGGGAAGGTCCCGGGAATATCAACATTTCGATGCAAGTATATAAATAACTCTACCTAATTCCGACCTCTGCTAATGAGTTATTCTTAATATTTTTTACTGTGCACTACCAAGTAGTGGAACTCCCTGCTGGCGTCTATTATTTCCGAGTGCATATAACCCAACCCAATTAAGGCAAGAATAGGTTGTTTCTGGGCAAGTTCGGCCCACCGTAGACCTTATTCATGTTGGGCTACATTATAAATAAAAAAGGTATCCGGCGTGAGGATATAGTAGTAGTAGGTCATTATTGAGCAATAATGAATGGCCAAATGCCGATTCTCAAAATCTATTTTGAGAAACAAAAATCAAAATTATTTATTCAGTCTAGGCTGTTACAAGCACTTGTGAGAGTCGAGAGCTACGCCATCGGTTCGTAAATCTACGGCGGGAGACCTTGTACCGAGAAGAACCGGCAAGAAACTCGGCAAAGGCTGCTTTTTTCTCCCTGTTTTATTTCATACAGAACGTTAAGATTGAAAAATGACTTTATATGAAGTCACTTTCCATAACATTATTAGAAAATATAAAAGTAAAACAGTATTTTCGTCAATCGAATCACATGGGTAGTCAAACAAGCTCACCGATAAATAATTTAATATACATAAAAATAAGCCATATTTAACGCCAAGCAATTAGGTCGTTTCAATATTCATTAACAGTATAATATCCTTTACTGAGTAGACAATTCTTAATATGGGTTTTAAACTTAAACAATAGTAAATTTAAAATTTTCATAGGAATTTTGTGATAGTAGTGAATCCTTGACCCATAAATGATGATAGAATCTTCTTTAGCCTGCATGACGGCAAAACAAGTTTATCTTTGTTTCTAGTATTAAAATTGTGTACATGACTATGTTTAGTGTAATTGTTAATATTGTTTCTAGCATAAAGCATACAAAAAATGTTTGTGATGCGCAATTTACAAATAACTTAATAAAGAACTTTTTTTGTATGAAAGCTGGTACTTTATTCAAATTATCTCTAACCAAGCATAAAGTATATATTAATCGATAGAGGGTAAATAAACCTTACACATGATAATTTTATTTCACTTTTAGGCGCAGCCAAAATGTTTATTTTCTGATTTAAACATCATTTAGTGGATATTTAAAATATCCACATGTGCAAAAAAAAAACTATGGCAACCCCATTCCTAAGTTACATTCCAATTCATGCTGTGAATTTATCTATTTGGACAATATGAAATCATCAAAGATAACTATTAAACAGGCTTTTACTAGATAAAAATTCTTTTAAAACCATAACTACCCTACCGACGGCTTCGCTGTGTGTACCGAATTTTATTTTTTAAAGTGAGTTTTATGGCTGTTTATACTAGTATTTCTAGACAAACCAGGCCATTTTTTAACTCAATTCTCTAAAACGGGGGCACTTTCAGTACCAAAAAAACATTCTCCTTTTCATATATTCGTGTTTTCGTTGGTTAAAATTCCCTATTATCGTACAGAAGCGTTTCGGGTGGGGAGGAGGGGAGAGCGGGCCCCGCTGTGACTCGGTACTACGGGCGCAGGAAGGAGGACCACTCCTCCACCGAGCTCTCGCTCGACTCCGAGTCCGCCGATGACGACACAGACAGGTCAGTGCGCACGTGCGGTGACGTCACACCCTGTCACACTGTTCCCCCCCCAGTCCGCCACTGGTCACACATGTGATTATATTGCGTAGATATAGCCGAGTGTTTGTGTTGTGACGTCGCATCTGTTGTAGCACGTTAAAGAGGCTGCAGGAAGAATGATGTACCTCTGCTGAGCTCGTGTTGCCTCGTTTCTTGGCAATTATGAAACTCACATTATTAATTATATTTAAAAAAAAGCAATATTTAATTACAATTCGTCTGTTTTTCTGACAGCTAGACTTTCACACTTTTTTGAAATTTTCAATAAGTGTAACTTAATTAAATCACGTGTCTTAAATCACGTGACAACATGAAGTATTCCGCGTATATGTTGATGGATATGAAAATATTTATACGATCGAACATTGTTACAGATCGGCGGTTGGCAATAAATCCAACACTAACCAGAATCAGTTACGATTGTCTGGAGCCAGCACCAAAGTCAGTAAGAATCAGTTGCTTCAACCGTACGCTTATATTTAGCATTATGACCGTAGCACCGGTTACCGTGTACGACCATGTTGATATTGCAGTGCGTTTCTCCCGCATCTTGATTACCAAGATTTATCTATTTAATTTACTATCGATTTCAACTTGCCCATTTTATATAAAATTCTTTGCTACTTCTAAACCCAGTAAGGTTCTGAGAATGGAAAAATCAAAATATCTCCCAATTAATTATAATTTTAGTGTATCTAAAAAAATCACAAGTTAAGTGTATTGTATACGCAAATTCTTATATTTGACACAACTGTCAGCATCCCCCTCATATTAATTATCTTGCAAAATATATTGCGTTATGATATAGACTCGACTCTTATTCTAATATCTTGACCAACGATTGTATTTGTATTTTTTATTAAATAAATTTGAATATAAATACAATTTTGTCTATATATTTACCACTTATATAAATTCATTCAAGAACGATTATCTCACAAATTTTCAATTTTCGACACATTTTTTTTCTACAACCGACCATGGATAGAAGAAAATGTATAGTTGTTTCTTAAGTGTTATTATAAAAGTGACATCACGCAATTTTGAAACTATGATATTATAAAATGCGCTACTTTCACTACTTTTCACTAGCTAGGCTAGTTAGTGGAATACCGTAGTGATTTTAAAACTTGAAATTAAATAACTAAAATTCAAAAAAGCATGCTACATATAAATGTCTTTCGTACAATGAGCTTTCAGTTTCTTCATTAATTTCCAATTTTATTGATTTTTCTACAGAATACTTTTATCCTTGCCCACATCCATATTTAATCTATTTAATTATGTCCTCAAATTTATATGGGAAGTATTCGAAACAAATTTAAAAAGAGTATGTTTAACAAACTCTATCGTATAATATCAAGTTGAATAAGTTATCTTCTAAAGATATATCGTTTTCACTAGTTGATATTACACTTACGTCTATAAGAAAAAAGGTCTCGCTGGTAGAAAGAGCGAAGTATAACATGATTTTTCTATTTATTTCATTCACACATATACAGTGTTAATAATAAACAAGTTTTAGCGTCAGAGTAATTTTTAAAAATTTACACTAAATTTACTCTGACGCTAAACCTTGTTTTGCAATTTTAGTATTAGTCCAAATTCATATTAAACTGAGAATAAGCAAACCTACTACCGTCTAGGAGTAAATGTTACTCCCGTAGAACCTTTTACTAGGTTAACCTTTGGCTAAGTCTCTGTTAAATAATATGAATTTTGACTAAGTATTAGTAAATTATTGCTATCTCAGTGTAAATTTACTCAAACGCTAAGTCTTGTTTATTAATAACATTTTGTATGTATAATATATTCTACTTTGATTATATATCCAGATTGAAGACCCGTCTTCGAACTTGGTCTGTCAATAATTTCACTTTATGGATGTGTCGATTAAAATAATAGAGTCATATTCAGTGAAGAGTAGACTCTTTAAATGAGATACTTTGAATTAAATTAGTTTTTCTTACAGGGACCGTCGCGTGATGCGATCTCGCTGAAAGAGAAACTACGCAGAAAAATGCAGGCACAGCTTTCAAGGCAACGTGAGTTTTATAACTAACAGATATTTTACTTGTTAATTTACATTTTTTTATATTGTGTAACAATGACTGACTAACAATATAAAAAATATAGGACATCACACTTATTGTTTATAGATATCAAGATAAGTAGCTAACTCGTTGTGCTATGGAAATCTGGAACAACAAAAGTCAGAGCTGAGACTCAATATTTTATTTTATTTTATTTTATTTTCAATATCTTAGGAAAACTTACAGCTAGGTAATACTATACATAGTTTTTTATTATATCTAAAAGGGCCAATTACAAGTTTCCACTTATAGGTAATTGAACAATAGGCAAAAACAGACGACAGCTAAAAGCAACAAAATTAAAATTATAGTAGGATAACATTTAAGATTGTAAGCATTACTTATTTTACTTTATATTTCATTGTTTTATGTATATTTATAGCTCCAGATAGAAAAAAAAAAGAAAACCAATTCACTTATCAAAAAATTTGTCTACTAAATGGCCTTTGACTCAATAAAGTATTATTAATATTGCGCTTTGTGTGTTAATCATTTTGTCTATTTATAAATGGGTTTTTATGTGTATGTGATTGTTTATTATTTTTGCCACGAAATGTTGGAATAACATTCCTCCACCTTTTAAACAGTTTCGTGTCATCAAAACATTTAAAATTAAATTAAGAGAACATCTTCTTGATTTACAGAAGCTGATTTGAGTGTTGTGTGTTGTGTAATTTATATACAAATTTATAATTTAAATCGTATTCTCTATAAATTTGTATTTTATGCATGGTTTATATAATACTTATTTACGTATCTAATTTAAATATTTGGGATGAGTATTTCATGTAAATATTTATGTATGGTACATTGTAGTGTCTTCTCTCCTCATTTGGTGTCCATGGAAGATCAGCGTCGAGGTATCTTAATGACATCTCGGCACTGTGCTGAATGGATACCTTTTTAGAGCCACGATGTGTGTTTATGTATTCACTCAATTTGATACTTCTATATTGTGTGGTTGCTAAATAAATGAATTATTATTATTATTATTATTATTACATAGTACGCGCTGACCAACGGGCTGAAGCGGAGAGGCAAGAGAGAGAGAGCAGACGACAAGCGAGACGAGACCAGGAGATGAGGGAACTCGCCATCAAGCTGCGACGCAAGTATGTTAAAGTGGGACTGCCCTGTGTTCTGTCAAAATCTAAACTCGAATTCGAATTCACTACAGAAAGCGGCATCCGTTCAACCTTTAATTGGTAATAACGTTTCATGGCATAAGTAGTAAGGAATTGTTCGGACACGCCCATCATCTGGATGGTTGGAAGTCCTCAACTGTGCGTTTTTCTCGAAGTTTTCTGCCTCGCACAGTCAAACTATGGAACAGTTTGTCGTCAGCGGTATTTCCGGACCGATTCGACCTTCAAACTTTCAAGTGTAGAACATATTCGTCCCTCAAAGGTCGGCAGCGCGCTTGTAGCTCCTCTGGTGTTGCAGGTGCCCGTCTGTCTGTCTGCCCATTAAAAAATAGAGAAGTGAGTTTCGAAATGACATAGGAATAGAATATCTGAGACACGTATGTCCAATCAATTTTGTTTTGTATTTTTATACAAGAAAAAATGGAATAGATAGAATTTTTACAATAAATGACGTGAATCCGACACGTGAGTCAATTCGAATTCGGGTCTGGATTTTTACAAAATCGCTGGGCACTTTATAAGTTACGTCGATGTAATGCGCAGATGTTTTAGCCAATCGTAACGTACATGATAAAGGTTCGATTGCTATTGGTCGATACGTACACGTCATGTCCACGTTAAGTTGCTAGTTTTTACTAGAAGAAATCGATTATCTGATTTCAATAGAGGTCTATAAAAATTATAGACGTATAAAAAATAGATGTTTCCTTATTTTATTTATCTTATAAAAAAAAATTGTTTTGTACTTTTTTGGTAAAGGTATGAATCATATTTATATAACAAGCACTAACATAATAAATATTATATAACAAAAAGTATTGTATTTTATATTATATTACGTGATATACGGCCGGTTTCTGAATTGAGAAAAACACAAAATGTCAACTGATTGTTCTCAATAACTTAAGTTTTTGGCGTTTCATATGGCAAACAGTCCTAGTTTTATATTATGAATAAAAAAAATATGAATCAGTAATGAACACCTGTTTTAAATGGCTTAAGTACGGTTTGAGATATACTCAACTTCAGATTCTCAAGTCAGAAACCGAGTGATAGAGTACAATACAATATTTTAGAGTATGATTGGTAATCCTATGATCACGTGGCACGTTCCGAGAGTCTTGAGTCGTATTTGAAGTTGAATCTTAATGTAACGGGTTAGATGGAATACAAGTGGCACAAAAAAAGTGCATTAGAGTAATACGTGGTGTTTTTTTAAAACATTCTGTGGCTACCATGCCTGTACATCTTCTAAATCCCGAAGTTTGTAAAACAAAATCGAGTTTACTTTAAAAACCCAAAGCTAAAGAACGCTAAAGCTAAAAGCCAAAGACTTGTTTCCCGAGGACACGAGAAACTTTAATAGGTTAATGATTGATATTGTTAACGAAATTGTTATTATATGTGCATTTCTAATATATAATAAGATTCCATAAGCGATAAGGGACTTGCCTTTCAGCAGATTGAGGATAGCACTGCATAAATGGCTTATAGAAATGGCATTCTAAACAACTAATTAATATAATGAAAATGTATTGAAATGTTTTAATTATGTTATATGTGACATTTGAATCGTATCGTTTCTGACATAGTTTATATTCTTTGACATTATATATTTTTTATATCAATGTAAACATGTTTTTTTGACATTAATTTTGTAATAAATACAATTTAATTAAATATTTTTATGCTAATGTATTATGGCTGAGAAGGTGTTATTAGATTTTTCCAACTATTTGTTATCTTGTACATTCTACAAATAAATGATTCTGTTATGTTCTAGATTCTATATTTTATGGATGTCGGTACCCTTATTCCATCGGCAGTAGCTTGATCACTTCTGCGTAGACAGGTTTAGAGTTTTACACACCCTTCTAACAAAAAATATAATACTCAACCGTATATAGGTATCGTTTATTGTATGATATACGAAGTATATAAAATTAATACAATATCGCAGGCAGAGAGAGATGAGGCACCAGCAAAATAGAAGATCGAGTGATTCAGATTCTGATAGAAGTCGCAGTAGGTCGTCGTCTGGGTAAGTACTTTATTTCATTTTTTTTTTAATTTTAATTTATTTATTAGCCATTTATAACAATATTGTTATACAAGGTATGTCAATTTATTTATACACATCATTAATTAAATTTAAATGTCTAAAAGAAATCTTACAGTATCTTATTTTATCATGTCATAAAAGTAGATTCGCTTAAACGCATCGTCAAAAATTCATTTAAGAAATAGAAAGGATTATACTCAAAAAAAGATTTCAGAATACTTTTAAAGCTATTGTGGTTTCTGTTTGTGATACTTAAAGGTAATTTGTTATACATTATTATTTTCAGATACCCTGTTTTGTAACTTTTTTTAGTCTTACCTTTGGATGACGAAACTTTTAATTATTACGTAGATTATATTGATGAGAATCACCTTTTCTTGCAAAATTTTCTTTTTCTACATGGAGTTCCAACAAGCTTTAAATGCTATAATAACTTTTCTCATAATAAGCAGAATGTCATATATAAATTCCTTTTTGACACCTATGCTCGTAAAGCTGATGTAATTCCACCGGTTTTAAATATGTAAAGCGGGTCATAAAAAACGCGTGTGTTACCAAAGCAAATAGATAAGTTATAGTCCATACAAATTCCATAACAGTATTATTTGCCATTTCGCGCGCTGCTGCTATTCAAATTTCGAACTAATTGCCGCGCGGCGCCAGTCAGTGGGCAGCGCTAGCGCGCTGTTAAAATGGCGGGAAAGCAACAGTGTACATTTACAGATTGAGTTAATTTAATGCTTTTTTTCTGTTTCCTCGCAAATGTGTTAAAAACGTCGTACGATAAACGTGCGTATTGGTTATAACATGCTCGGCTCAATTACGCCCTCGCCTTCGGCTCGGCCTGAAATTCCGCCTCGCATGTTATAATCATCATAACGCACTAATATCGTAATGTACTAATCTAGAGTTTCTTCAGTATCAATTTACAGTTTTAATCAATTTAGAGTATACATAACATTCATTGTCCTTTTTTGTTTGTTTTGTAATTGTTTCGATTTTTATTTTACTTAATAATAATAATAATCTTTATTAACTATATAAATGATACAACTTATTTTTACACCAGTGATTCTTATAACATATTTTTTGTATTAATATCTACTTATTATCTGTTGTCCTCAGAAAATATGTAATAAAAAAAAATATTAGGCCACAGTAAATAAATCTAACTAACAATTAGAAATAATGATGTTGTGTTTTTTTTTACTTTATTGGATCAACAAACAGTTTCACAATGAAATTACTTGAACCAGCAACAAATTAATTACATATATCTTGTGATAGTGAAACCAACACCGTTGACCACAAGTGGCTGAGTACATTTCACATTGTAGTTGAGAGCAACAATTAAGTCAAACATTATTTAGTTTGTGGAATGAGTTTTCAAACTAATAACTAAGTACTGGTTATTAGAATGTAATATAATCAATAGTGAAGTAGGCTGTTGACGTGAATTGTGTTGTTTATAATGCAGTTAAACTTTATTATTACTCAACTCGACAGGGAGTCGCAGAATGTGGACCGCAAAAAAGACCGGAGCCAGTCGAAGAGTCCGTCCCCGCAAGAGCGGCGCGTGCCCGTGTGGGAGGCGGACGCGGCCCGCGCGCGCCGCCACGACCGCGCGCCGCGACCGCCGCGCCCGCCGCCCCGCCACGGCGCCGACCGCGACCGCGACCGCGACCAAGACCGCGACCGCGACCAAGACCACGACCACGACCCCGCGCGCAGGTAACACGACGAATCGGGGCAAAGTATTGTTTATTAATTGCCATTTCGATGACGTAGTCGCGTTCAAAAATCAGTACCGTTAACAAATGAACACCGGTCGATGAGTACACTTGTTGAGTTGGATTGTGTTGAGAACTCGCAAAATTTTTGTCATGTTTTTGTTGTTACTTGTTATGGTTGACTAATAGCAACTGCTATTATGCTTTTCACAATAAGTAAACATAATTTCACTAATATATACATATATATTAAATCGTTGTAAGGAGCCGTCCATTAACCATGTGATGTTGTTTTCAGCATTTTTTAATCCTCCTCCACCAAATCACGTGTTTTTAGTACCTACAAAAAATCCTACCCTAGTTTAGTAATCGCACTTTTGAAGAAAAAAATAATACACTTTAACGATCCCTCTCCCGCCCCGTTCGAGCATGATGTTTTTCTAACATGGACATCGATTTTTTTCTAATATCGATAATCGTTATGTGCAGGCGACCGTACAGGGGCGGATACAGGGGACACGGGTACAGAGCCCACGACCGGTACGGATACGACGGACCTTCCACCAGGCGAGACGATGGCCCCGACAATAGAGAGGACGACACTTATCCTAGGAATAGGGTCAAACTAGTCGATTACTAGTTGCACGTATTATATCTTTTTTACACGTATTGTGATAAGTAATTAAGTTAATTTTAAGCAGGGTACGCAAATATCTGTTACTTATTCGATATATATTGGATATATATAATGTATATGAGAAGCTGGGCTTTTTTATATTTGGTTTTCGATTTATTTATTTGATCTTTTAAATCAAAAGTTTAAAATAAAGATTAAGGTTTGAGTAATTAAATATTTGTTTATTTACTATAAAATAATTAAAAAGTAGAATGCGTACGTGAGTAGCTCGGTGGCGTAGTGGATAAGCAACTTTCGCAAGGGTCGGTCACGGGATGGGTGACCAAAAAATTATTATCTCGACCTACTCCGTACTTCGGAAGGCACGTTAAGCCGTTGGTCCCGGCTGCATTTGCAGTCGTTAATACCCTCCAATCCGCATTGGGCCAGCGTGGAGGGTCATGGCCCAGCCTCCTTAACCATCCATAAGGAAGGCCTGAGCCCCTGCAGTGGGGACGTAAAAGGGCTGGTGATGATGAGAATGCGTGCGAGGATTTCCAGTAAGGCATAGGGGAAAACCCGATATTTCTAGTATGCAAATTGCTACTTCGGACCAATGTTGCCAGCATTACATCGGGATGCTTAATTTTCCAGCTGAGCCTCAATGCTTAAAGTAACACAATAAATATTATAAATATCAATTTATAAATATCAATTTATATATATATCAATGTAAATATGAAGATATATATCCGTTGATATTTATGAGCAAACCCCCGATTTTAAGTGATTATTGTGATTATCGTACTTATTATGCACATAAAATTAAGTTAACTACTTATCAACTTCTAACGTGTAAACCAGCCATGAAGGCTTAAAGGCATATTCGATTATCAATCGAATAGCGAGAATGTAATATGAATCGGAACCAGGACTTGTACCCTGAAAATCAATTTTCGGTATATTCTAAACGTCTTCGTGCTCTATCCCTGCTCTGTGACTTTAAAAATTTTAAGGTCTAGTAGAACAGAAGAGAACACAATTTACATATATCAAATTTCGATTCTAAGAGTAAAGGACCTGGATTTCTTTAGAAATTTCATCTTGTGAGTTTTGTGACACGAATAACCGTTTTGATTAGCTTTTCAAACACCAACGGTTTTAAAAGATCTGGTAATATATCACACGAGTCATACCCGCATAATTTATTAGGACTCAATATTTATAACTATGTATTTTCAGAAGTAAAAATTATCGAAAAGATACATAATTTTTTTAAACTGCAATCCGGTCTTAATAAAGTTCCATTTCATGTTACATCAGTAGATAACATAAATGTTATGCTATTAATTGCGCATATAAAAGACCATAATCTAAATATACTCTTTGAGAGATTAGAATATATACATTTTTTAAAGCTTTTCTAAACTGAATTTACAGTTAAATCCTCGGTCCCAATATTGAAAAAAAAAATACTGGTGATCTAAGTGACTAATGTAATTTACCTAGATTACACGTTCTACGTCTGTAGGTACGTGAACGTATTATTATGTTTCATATTCGTAGCTTATTGCATCAGACGGTAATCCTTTAATACCTTATATATATCGCACACCTATATCTAAACTAAGACAACTCAAAAAACTAATGTCTGAAAATACATTTCAAATTCAACAAAAGAAAGCTACAGTCATCTAGCAGCTCATCCCCGAACCTTTATTGAATCTGTAATGTTAGATAGATGCGTATGATCACCGAGTATTTGAATATTGTACTAAGTCAAAACTCACTCAAATTTTCGAGTTGTCTCAGTTTAGATCTAGGTGTGCGATATATATATATCTGTATGTGATTAGTTAAAAAATGCCCCAACATATTGTACCTTGAAGGTAATACCGTTAGTAAAATAAATTATCAAAATTCATAAAGCCAAAATTGTATTCAGTAAGGTAACTTTGTAATTTAACACTAGATGGCGTAAAAGGTGACATTTTATAGTCCGTTTCACGAAAGAGTTCACTTGGCATAACCCTTGTTTATTTGTAATAAGAGTCAAAACAATGGGACGAGGGACTTCGTTCGTGAAACGAACTCTAGAAGAATGTCAATTTTTAATTGACGTTTGTGTATATTTTAGTTAGTCGGATTAGTTAAGTATCTTTGGAAATTTTTGTTTTGTAAAATGTTTTGACTAATAGTGCGTTATATTTAATTAAAATAAATCGTTCAATATGTAGACATGACATATTTTTTACTCTTATGTATTTTGGGAAACCTCTACTCGTTTTCATTTTTTTTTTTTTTACCAAAATGTCTACTTATGATAATTTTGTAACGCCTAACTCCAAAACGATAGATTTAAGTATGTTTTCCTTTTTCCTTCGTTTGGATCTGTTTTTTTTTATTATTTATGAGTTAGACAGTTCGGTTATAATCGATATTGATAAAGAAAATAGTGCTCTAATGTCATGCGATTTACGTGATTAGGATTTTACCAGTAGAAAATTGAACAAGACAAGTTCTCAGTACTGTTTCTAGCTATCGATGATTATTGGGGAACACAAAAATGAATTTATGAAATGTCATTAATAGACCTCTTAATTGTTAAAGGGGGATAGCGAGTGAAATGTTAGTTTAAATGTTTTTTGTACATAACATGTAGTATGTAGTTACAAATGTAAATAAAATAATATTTGCAGCTCCTGTTTGTAGATCGCTTTAATGTGTATCAGTCTTATATTAAATAAATAAGTTCATTTTACAAGTTACTTGCTAGTTTTCTTTAGTATTATGACTTGACCATCTTCAAAGGAAATATAATAAAAACTTAGTTATCTTAAAAGATATTTACTTAATGCATAGATATTAGTTTTATTTTGTTACTAAAATATTTACAATGTGTCTTAGATAATATTATTCAGCCAAAATCATAGACTCAATCGTAAGAGGGATCATAATATTATAAGATAAAAAGTACGACTTGAATTTCGTACATATTTAAAATCTTTTAATTTTACTTTTGTACTTGTTTACCTACAAAAGCATATCACGCGCAAGTTAATAGCGAGTATTTAAAATTTTTATGGTCTATTTTATGAGATACGTACAAAATAAATATTAACGATTATAAAGGTAAGCCCTAATATCTTCCAATATTTACTGATGAAAAGAGAGTCCAGAAACCTGTCAAGAGCAAAACAATACAACAAATATAATTTTCTTTCGTTAAAATTATGTTAGTACACTAATGCCATCTCTTGACGGAACGACTGAAACTATGACGGACGATCCAATTTTTAAATTCCGGTAAGATTGATATAGAATTATGGTTTTTAAGTTTATCCTGTTAAGGCACGATTTTATTTAATCGCTCAGTGTGTCGACGTCTACATCTTCATTATCTTCTAGTTCGGTAGCGCGGGGCGGCGCGCGCCCCTCCTTCGTGTGACGCCATTTCATACGTCTATTTTGGAACCACACCTTTACCTGTATAAAAAAAAATTCTATATCTATAAAAATATAGCTTGTGTAACACGATGATTATTATATGTTCATCCATTACATAACAAAGGTAAGTACCGAAAAGTACAAATGAATAAATGAACTGTACAATTAGTCCATACGGCAAATAAACTATTTGTGGTATTTCAGTTGGCATTGTTTTCAGGACTATATTTTTCGAATGTACAGTTAACGGCACGTTAGACTATAAAAAACTGTCAATATCAAATTTATTTTAAATCTTAACTGATTGAGATTAGGACCAAAATCGATTCCAGATAAATAACGTTTTGGTATAACCTGCAGAGTGACTGCTTAACTATAGCTATAGGATACGACGTCTTAGTGATGTTATAACGACCTTCCGTATTATTTGACTGCATAATAATAAGTATGTGTGTACCTTAATAACGACTATCGAATAATACCGAGTAGCTCGGTGGCGTAGTGAATAAGCGTCGCGGCCCGCGATCGTTGTCGTTAAGCAGCTTTCGCAAGGGTCGGTCACGGGATGGGTGACCAAAAAATTATTATCTCGAGCTACTCCGTGCTTCGGAAGGCACGTCAAGCCGTTGGTCCCGGCGGCATTTGCAGTCGTTAATAGCCTCAATCCGCATTGGGCCAGCGTGGAGGGTTATGGCTCATCCTCCTTAACGTAAAAGGGCTGAAGATGATAATGATGATGATCGAATAATAAAGAATGATGATTGTAAATTTGATAGCAGTCTTACAAAGTTACTCGTAGTTGCACAAACATTTATTACGGTTTAATGACGACTTAAATGAACGTTTCTAATTTCAAGTTTGATAAATAAGTGCTGACTGATTCTTTAACGAAGCTGTCAAAAATTACTTATATATGTATTTTTGATAAAAATTTTAATATTGCTAAATACATTAAAAATTTCTTGAGACAAGCAATTAGTTTTAAAACATTCTCTAAATTATGAGAAATGTAAAAATGCTATTTTTATAAAGAGAAACGTTTTCAGCTTGCAGTTAAAATAGAAACTAATTAAAAATTTACTCAAGTTTCTTTAGATAATTGTAGATATTTTAAGCTTTTCATTATCTTAATACCTGTGCATCAGTTAATCCAAGCGTGGCCGCAAGTTGCCTTCGATCCGGTTTAGTGATGTACTTCTGTATCTGGAACCTCCTCTCTAGTCCTTTCCTCTGAAGGTTGCTGAAGACAGCCCGCGACCAGGAGCGTTTGCGTTTGCCGCTCGATGTGACGTCACAGCGCGACGCTGACGTCTGTTGTGGCGGAGACGACGGCGGCAACGGCAATCTATACACTGAACACAATTATAATAATACATTAGCTATAGTATAAGAGGGAGTTTGATTGGGGCTTCGGTAAGAGAAATGTGGAATGAAAAGCTTAGTCTACACTAAACTATATGTATAGCATATCTACATATGATGCAGCCAACTGATCGCCACCTTTTTGGATTTTGAAGTGAATTTTGGATTCATCTAATCCCGTAATTTTTCGTTACGAAATAGGGACAAAGTAACTTCTTTGTAACGTTGTTGGACTGATTTCAGTTTGACAGTGACACAGCTAGAACACTATTTGAGTATGAGTTTCAAATCTCCTCAGGTCTTCATTTAGCACTAGTACCTACTTTAGAAGCTCATTCTTTTAAAATATATCATTTTAGCATAATTTCATAAAATATTGTAAAATTGGCATCCTGCGAGTGTGCACCACTAGGGTAGTGGCATAGCGTAGTAGGGGCGGCAACGAGCATGGAATTTGTCACTACTTATTCTGTGGCGAATTCGAAGAATTGCCACGATCGACTGGAATAACAGTCGCGATCGACTGGTTGACCACCCAGGATAAATACTGACTTACGGGGATTCCTCGTATTTTATTTTGTGCTTGGATTGTTTATGACTAATAATCAGCAAGAATGATATATTAAGTTCAATATTGTTTATTACGTCCCTTTAAGAAAGTACGTGACGCTTTGAAAATTCAAAGAAAGTTTTATTCATGGATCTTCAGTTGTTTAATTCATACTTTTTGTTTTTACAAGACAAGCCCGCTTTTTACTAAGAACATTTTTTTGTATATCACAAGAAAAATTATCCTTTGTGGTGATCAAACCACAACATTTGGTCCGTGGGAGGTTGCATGGCTACAACTAAACCACTAGACCAACCGTGCAGTCAAAATCTAACCTGTATAATGCAAAATAATGATGACAGTTCTTGCCGAAAAATTCTTTAAAATTACTGTAATTAGGTATTCCCTAATTAAGAGGGGTAGCAAAATTGTCTTCCTTCCTAGGCGACACCCACGCTACGCCACTGCTCTAGGGTATCAGGAAGTGAAATAAATTATGTAAAAGTGCTCAGTAACCATGCTATTAACTATAAACTATTTTAATGCTCTGACTGCTCCAGTTAAATATTCTAGTCTTATAATTTTGTGACCTGAGAAAATCCAGAATCTGAATTAATAAGAATGTTTAACAAAGTCAAATGTTTAACGCCTGCCCACTTCTATACGCAGATATCAAACTTCCCTGATGGTAAAATAATAGCAAACACATTACTTAATATTGCTGAGGTGACGAACGTGAAACTCGGTCTTACTCTCCGTAACAAAACCATAGAAAATAACGAGATGGCGATAGGGAAGAGTAGGTAGGTACACAAAATAAATTAATGATAATAATTTCACCTTGTGCTGGGGATGGTTTTACCCTGGGATGATTTATGATCTGGGATGTGACAACTCAGAGTTAAAAAATTAAATGGAATTGTATCGGGGAGTAAAAAGGTAGATTGACTTAGTAAGTTACCTAACATCTTTAATGTCTTTTTTAAACTTTTTCATTAAGAATGTCTTTTTTAAACCCTTATCGTTTCGCCATGTCCCATGCCATGTTCACGAACGGACAGACCGTCCGTCCGCGGTTTAGCTCAAGAACTATTAGTTCTAGAAAAATGTCATATTGCATAAGTATACACGTTAATTACGTCGTCGAAGTGTTAAAGTAAAATTTCGAAAATAAAATATTAGTAATGGATATACCTAATATATTATACGTTTAATGCAGTCATTTTGATGTTAGTTTTTTATTATATTTAATCAATTTTACATTTACAATGGTATATTGAAAAATATTCTTAATGAAAAATGAACTGAGCCACCCTCAAGAGGTTGGCGTAGCGCCCGGATTGGGAAAGGTCATGGGTTCGAATACCACCTCAGAGTGCCAGGGATAAAGTGGATTTTTTTAAGCCTTTTTCATTAAGAATATTACTTAGTTTTTATTTTATATAAGACTATTTTTATATGAATTCAAAACTAATAATTCATTTTCGAAAAAATGTCTTACGGGATCCCTTCGAGAATATACCTGTACTCTTTCCAAAAAAACATAAGAATCATCAAAATCAGTCCACTACTAAATAAAGTAATACCGTTGTAATGAATCGTGAAATCTATTGCAAAAAGTCTAATTGAGAACCTCCTTTTCCGGTCCGTAGTCTGTTAAAAATAGGCTTCTGGAAATATTAGGTCCTTACGTATGAAATTGGTGTTTGGTATGGGAGGAACAAAAAGTCGAATATTATTTAATATAATATATTTATTTAATCAAAGTATAAACCATTGTTATCTATGCACTTTTGCCATCTTATAGGTAGTTAATTGATCCCCTTATTAAAAAACCATTCGGACGAGAATCAACAAAATCTTTAAAGGCGATTTGCACTGCCCTATCGGAGTTGAATATTTTCCCTTGCAAGAAGTTATCCAAATTTCGAAAAAATGGTAATCTGTTGGAGCAAGGTCCGGGGAGTACCTACGGTGGATGTCTTAGACATTCCAATTGAAGCTCATCGAATTTGGAAGCCGTCTGTTTTGCAGTGTGTGGTCTAGCGTTGTCGTGCAGTAGCAATAATAATAATAGTCGTGAAGTAGAGCGATTGACCAGCCTCGGTTGTTTAACAACTAGTTTTTCCAGCATGGTTTTCAATTGTTGACAAAAGACGTCTGCCGTAATCGTCTGGCCAGATTTGACAAAACTCTAATGAACGACGCCGGCACTAGTCCACCACACGCTTACAAGTAACTTTTTTGGGATCAATTTTCACTTGTGGCAGGATTTGGCTGACATGCCAGGGCCCAACCATTGCGATGAGCGCTTTCGATTATCGTAAAGAATCCACATTTCATCACAGGTAATGATTCGATTTAAAAACCCTCCATTATAACGCAGCAGTCGAAGCGTGTTTGCTGGGTTGCTTAACTCAATTCGTGAGGTACCCACCTTTCAAGCTTTTTAATCTTTCCAATTTGCTTCAAGCGGATTAAAACAGTTTTATCACTAAAACCGCAGCCTGCAGCTAACTCGGACGTGGTTTCCGATGGATCCGCTTTCACAATAGCCTTCAATTCTTCATTATTAACTTGGGTCTCCGGCCGTCCACGGGGTTTGTTCTGCAGGTCGAAATTTCCAGAACGCAATCGTTGGAACCAAAAACGCACTGTGTTTTCTTTTGCGACACAACCGCCATACAGATTCATAACCCTTCGAGCCGTTTCCGCAGCACTGGTACTACGGTGGAAATCTTACTCGCAAATAACACGATATTTCAAGTTTTCCATTTTCTATCACACACACACACACACACACCAGCCCTTTTAAGTCCCCACTGCAGGGGCTCAGGCCTTCCTTATGGATGGTTAAGGAGGATGGGCCATAACCCTCCACGCTGGCCCAATGCGGATTGGAGGGTATTAACGACTGCAAATGCAGCCGGGACCAACGGCTTAACGTGCCTTCCGAAGCACGGAGTAGCTCGAGATAATAATTTTTTGGTCACCCATCCCGTGACCGACCGAAAGTTGCTTAACAACTACGATCGCGGGCCGCGGCGCTTATCCACTACGCCACCGAGCTACAACCATTTTCTATACAGTGACGTAAAAGTAGAAAAAACAACAAATTAATGCCGCTTAACGAAACACAAATACATGTGTAAGCTAGCCTAAGCTGTATACATTTAAATTTGGAATTTCCAACCAAGAAAGAGAAATTTGTGATTAAAATGGCCTAAAGTACGACTAAACGCCAATTTCATATGTAAGGACCATATACTAATGCCACTCAGAGGAAGTGGCGGTTAAAACAAGACGAAGAAACATTTATTGACCTCAATCTTACAATCGATAAATATTTATTGTTGTAATTGATTGAGGTGGCGTGTGCAATGTGAGTGCTGTACAACCGCCCACGGCATTGCGATGCAAAAGGCCTCCCGCCTAATATCAGGCATAAAATAAAAATCCAACGAAGAGCGAGTCGGAGTCGCGCGAATGAATATTAGAATTCAAAAACCACATACTTCTAATTTTTTCAGTTTTTTCCTTAATTTTTAGCTAAGTTGTTTTAGTTTCTTTTCAGAGATCAGCAGAGCGAACGCCTTTCTCTTCTAGCTCTGACTCTAGCCATAATATACGACGTGCTATAGTGCTATTTCATTGCATTTTACTAATTTAAATTTTATTAATAATGAAGAATATGGATTTGAGAGCAGTGTTTCCAACTTTTAATCAAACATTTATCTTAAATTTAATTAAACCAAAAGACATAAGTGTAAAGTAGTATAATAGGTTACACTAAAAATACTTTTCTGAAAACCGCGCCAAAACCGTGTTAAAATGCGAATATCCATTTTTTTTGTGTGTTAATATACCTAAAACCTTCTAAGTCTGACAAATACTCAGCTGAAAATGGGACCACACGGCAAGCACTAGCTTTCTAATAAAAAAAGAATCATCGAAATCGGTCCACCCAATAAAAAGTTATCAGGTAACAAACAGAAAAAAATACAGTCGAATTAAGAACCTCCCCCTTTTTTTGAAGTTGTTTAAAAATGTAATGAAATATCGTCATAATATTCGCTAAGGAGTCGTATCTTATAGCGCAAAGAGTTAGGCATGGTCACACCCCTGAGGCATCAACATTTGCCTATTTTCTTAGATAACTTGTAAGCTAGGTAACTAAAACTATTTATTCAGTAAATATATAAAGGTATATTTGAGATCCTCATAATAAGACCTTTCATTTGATGTGTGTGTATTGAAAAATAAAAATAAAGTTTTGCAAATTGCAAAACTTTTTTAATTCACTTAACTTAAGAGCAGCTTCTTTTAATGAGACCACGTTCTAAATTCATGTATAAACGTACCCACCTATGGCCGAATTTATTTTACCGACTTACATTTGGGTACCTACCCAATTTTTAATTCAAGCGGTCCTGTAGCTGTGAGAGACAGACATACAGACAAGCGAGTGATCTTATATTTTTCCTTTTTTGCCAAGTAACCTAATCAAAACTTACCGAGTTTCATTTGGCGAATCTTGCAAAACTTCCACTGTCTCATAATGCGGCTAATACTACATTACGTTATATCTTAAAAATATTGACTATATTTATAATGCACGTATTAAATTTTAGATTTATAATCATGCAAAGGCAATTTAGACTATCATCAACCAACTCATCCACATAATAATCAACTGCGTATTCACCTGTTGTCGGCCTTAAAGCTGGGTGCAGATGTGAATAAGGAAGGGGCAGCGGCAACTGCAGCAGAGGCGGTTCATCTCTACAGCACCTGTACAGGGCGGCCACGCAGCCCGCGCACGGCGGCTCATGTCTCGACGACGGCTCGCTCACAACCACCGATACATTATTACTACCATCACTTGTACCCAATATGCTCTCCACACTAAACTTCAGTTTACTCGAACCAACATCACCACTCAATGACGTCATCACACAACCTCCCTAGCCGGCAGCACGTTAAAAACTAAACGATTACGCGGTTGATCGGCGCTAGCGCACTAAATAGGCGTGGCGGAACCAATGAAGCAATCCCATTGGTTTAATTTGTTAGGGGTGTGGCTTTATTGTGCGCACGCGCAAGATATGGAGTGCTCGACTATTGAGTGATAAACCCTGCATTGCACAGTTGTTTATAATAAACTGCCAGTTTAATGTGTTTTATATGGATTCCCCCAAAAGGAATTTAATTTTATTACTCTGGCTTACGTCATTCGTCGAGGGAGGTGGGATCAAATAATTTAATTGCTTACAAATGTTTAATTTTAAACTTGTCGAAGAATATATAAATATATTCTTACATATTATCTAACTGTACCTAAATGAATAATGAAAAACATTAAGCACTTATATTTTAATTTCAATTTTTTCAACTTCGTGTCGTCTGGTGAAGCCACTGCAAGCTATTGATTGATTAATAGTAATAAGTGTATCAATGCCAATAAGAACTATTTCTTATAACCTTCTGGCACACTTCAAACCTACAGAACAGCTTCTAGGCTAGAAAGCATATTATAACGTTAATGGTCCTTATCTTAAAAATAGTGATCATGAACCTTATAAGGCTAAGGCGTAAAATCTTACAAACAATTTTTTACTTCCCTTAGTTCGTCTTTGCTTGTATTCGAAAAAAAAATTAATCTGTTCAGTCCGTAACTGTGCGCCGTACCACTGTGGTTAGTCATTGAATGTGAACTCCACTCTAAACAGGATGAAAGGATAGTATGTTAGGAGAGGAATGTCTATTATTTGAAAGGTTGTATGTTTTTGTGAAGACACTGCTTTAGGTAATTCTTCAAAATTCTCACTTGTCAAAAATTGTCTGGATCTATAGGAGAAATTTCGTAACCTAACTGAAAGGAACTTTGAAAGGAAAATCGCCTAATATAATTTACCCACTATATACCATACTCATTTCTAAATTTACTCTTGACAACATAATCACATTTTATATAAAATATTTTAAGCTTGAGTAAGTCATACCTAATTTCTTTTACCCAAGAAATTCTTGAAATTATTGCGCGCTTGTGCTTGAGCTTGTAACGGTGCACTGTACCACCGTTTATTTCATTCTAGGTATCCGCATGATCAACTGGTGAGAACATGATAATTTAATCATATAATAATAAAGTTATTATAATTTAAATAAGAAAAATGTAAATTCGTGAAATATCTACTAAGTTCTACTTACCTATTACGGAAAACCCAGAAACGGGGTAAGCAACTGTTCTATTTAACTTTTGTAATTATATTTATTTATATTCATTTTATGTTTGTTACATAGTCAGCCTTTCATTAATTTGCCTAAGCATCAAACCCGTCACAAGTCTTTATTGAACACTACATTAACCGACGAATCTGCACTTTATTTCATATAAGTGTCACACTCTGTACCGACAGCCTGACGAGAACCCAAATCCATCTGTTCCAATTGAGCCTTGAAAGATGTCTAGACTAGACAGCCGTACGTCTAATCCTAGACCAATCCAGTTATGCTATTCTGTTAAAACAGTCTCGAACTTGATGATGAACGTATCCCTGTCAAGGTATAGTAGAGCGTAGTAGTATAAAATTTTTATTACATCTTAAAATACATTTATTTGATTGGACCTCTAGGTGCACTCGTCGTCTAGTTTGAGGCTGATTTCATGATAGGATAGCACTGCTGATTGGTTTACTGACAGTTGACAGACATATCAATCTGCCCCCTAATTGTCTAATTTTAAATCTATTGCAATCGCTTTCAGTTTGAAAGGTGTCGCACAACCATTGCTTGTTTCTGAAGACAGTTGAAAAAAAAGTATTTGTATTATGCAGCAATGGTTGTGCAACACCTTTCAAACTGAAAGCGATTGCAATAGATTTAAAATTAGACAATTAGGGGGCAGGTCTTCCGCTGTGCGGTACAGCCGCAGCACCCACCAGTGCAATCTTCCATAAAATTACTATTGTCTTTCCCTAAGTGTATTTTTTTGTAAAAGTTGTTCGACTATTAGGTATTGAATTAGTAATTTATAAGTCTTTTCGCCTTGTCATTGAGACAAAAAATTAATTTTCCAACAACTTAGATAATTTAATAACAATTATATCCTAGTTTAAAGTAAAAGTGTAGAGTATGCAGGAGGAAACATTTTTACATGTTTCTATCCTCATCTCACATATTTCCAATTTTGGTAGTGCTATGTAGTGAATATTGATGTTTTCCCGCGGCTTCATGCGCATAAATTATAGCATATGTTGCGGACGTGATAAAGCTACCGTAGGTGAAACAATTTTTAGAATCACTCCAGTGGTTTCGGATCTTTTTTGATACAAACAAACTGACAGGTTTCTTATTTCACTTTTATAAATAACTAGTGTTCCACCAGCGGCTTTGCCTGTGTCGTCCCTAGGGAACTGTTTATTTGGATATCTATTCATATCATAATATAATATAATTACAATGACAAATTGAATAGTCAATATTTATGAGATGCCTCTTAATTATGTGTGTCCTTTTCAAACATAGGTATCAAAATGCAACCTATATCCTATAGTCATATTAGAAGGAGGAAAGATTTTATTGTTTGTTTGTTTGTATCAAATAGGCTCCGAAGCTACTGGACAGATTTTAAAAATTCTTTCACCTATGTGATGAAGCCTTCATATAAAGTTTGTATAGGAAATTAAAACGTTACCATGGCAACCACTGTTTACTATTCAATTTGTCATTGTAAATTATCCACCACGGGACCACGCGAGCGAAGCCACTGGCGGGAAGCTAGTATATATATAAAAGAATTCGTAGAACATACGTACAGTCTAAAACTCTTATTAACATACAAAGACTAAGTCCAGATTAACTTTACTCCAAGCATTAAGTCAGTATACTCTGTTACTCTGGAATCAACTAGTCCAAGTTTAACTTTGGATAAGTCTAAGAACATGTCATTTTTATTAATACGACTGTAAGCGTACAGTCATGGACACGTACACAGTAACAAATAATAAACTCTTTAAAGTCGGTCCCTGAATTAATTCCAATTCTTCATGCAATGTTTTTAACCACTTTTTAACCAAATTGCATTTTGTAGAGTGTTGTACAACACTCTACAAAATGCAATTTTAAAGAATGATTTGTAAGTTTTTTCTTTTCTTTATCGGTCAGAAACACGTATACTGATGGATATAGTGAAATTAGAAGGGTTCCTTATGGATACGAAATCCTTAACATGTATATACATCTATATGTTAATACATGTATAAATTTATATTGCCCAAACTTTGCCTGTTCGAGAGATGTCTGTTTATGAACAGTGGCTAACTAACGGTAACCAGTTTTTTTCCTCGGAATCTTTGATGGATTAGTTTAAAAGAAGGCGTTAACGAGACATCATCTGTTTCAAATCTACGTGAATCGACATGAAGCGCTAAAAGCATCCTGAAAAATCGATTTATACGATAAGTGGTTAACGTTGAGAAAATAGACAGGCGAGCAAACTATTAATTCTATAAGGTTCATTCCCAACAGCAAATATCATTAGTTCCCACTTTTAGGGTACAGATATTTATTATGGTTTGTATTAAGAGGCACTCAGGTAGGGCGTGTCTCGTGACCGAAACCTCTCAAGAAGCGCATGGGTTTGGTTAGGTATAGAAAGAAGATACTCACGTTAATCTACCGAACGAAGTCAATGGTTGTATAGTGATAACAATAACAGATGCAGCCGACACTAAAAGCTTAACTTGCCTTGCGCAGCACAGAGGAGGTAGAGAAAATAAGTTTTTAATTATTAATTCTAGAAATGGCAGTTGCGAAAGTTGTTAAGTCTCCGCATAGCTGACCAACTGTGCTAATCACTGTACTATTGAGATTCTCAAATGTAGCGCTATTTTTGTTAGTATAGGTAACTAGACTCAATTATTCAGCGGTTGACCAAATGACTATTTGCCTATTGCATTTCAGTAAGTATATTTAAATAAAGAAATGGATAAACCTCATTTAGGTAATGTAAGTTATATGTACATTTAAACATATAATTACTTAAAAATGTAAAAAATCTCGTAAAACATTTATTTTCTGTTCATAGCATATATGTATATATTAATTCAAAAAAATCTCCATAATTAATTAATTATTCCCCTGTTATTATTCGTACCCTATCTAATATTGAATCATCGGGAGAGCACCGTCCAAGAACAACTGTTATCTCTTAAGCTGTATTACGGATAAGTTTATTTTGCCTGTCGGACCCACCTGGCTCGCCTCCACCAATATAGATCCAATTGCGGCATTAACAGCATTCTGTTTACACAATTACTGCACCGAATCAAGAGGATTTAAATAAACGCGCGAAACCTGTATTTTCTATACTGAAAATTCTAGAAACTAAATAAAGTTTTTCTTTTTTTAATATATGTATTTATATTTTTATGTATCTATTTGTATAGATCTAGAAGTAACTGTTATGAAATAATACTTAATTGTATATAGGTACATCAAATATTCACTCATAAATTATAATTATAAGCATTTAAAAAAATAACGTTATTTAGTCATTATGGATTATTTTTAATCACCTTTTGTATGTATCACTTACTACTTCTCTTCAACTTAATCTCTTTGATTACATATAATCAAAGCTATATCTATACCGAACTCTATCATCAAACATCTCTTAAAATAAGTAGTAATCAAATAAACATTTGATTTGTTCGAGTATAAGAGGGCGATGCCCTGCTCCATCGAGGATGTTATTTTGTTTGGAATCAGAATGGTGTAATTGTTTAGTGTAACTCGGTGGACGATCCGGGACTTTTATAGCCGTTTTAACTATTCTGATAACATACACAGACTTAATAAATCTTCCTGTTCTCAAATGTTTAGGGGGCTAGGAAGTTAAGTGTTTATTATAAATCTCTTTGATTAATTACGTTGTGTAGTTATTGGGACGTTTAAAGAATTTTATTACTTTCAAAGTTACTACTGATTCAAATAGTGAATTA